TTGTGTATAGGTACCTACGTAAACAAACATTACCTGCCTAAATAATTATAAATGAAAGTAAAATAATTTTTCCCATAATTATGTTTTCCTAAATATAAGTCAATACCAATATTCTCACTGAAGAAACATCACTCGGGAAAACATCGTTATTTATTGTCGTCTATTTTTGGAATTTGTTTTGTCTGAGGTATTCTCAGAATCATGTTTCAATGGAATATTACAAGTACGAATTTAGGACTGTACATCTGTTATATGGCAAATAATGAGAAGAATTCATTCCTTTGTCACCAGCTCTGCGTTTCCTGCAGGCGTTGTAAGAGCGAATTACGGGACAGGGATACTAAGACTGGGCTGAAGCGCTTACTGATAAACCTGATTCTTTCAAGCTGTGACCTTCAATCCGCCTGTCTAATGCAGCGAATATCATCATCAGAAATATCGAATAGAATCATCTAAATGTGGACTATCACTGTAATGGGCTTAGTCTAAAAGTGGACAGTCGGTACGTGTAACATATAACGTCTATTGTCAAAGAACAATAGCTAGTTATTTTCACTACATAGTAATACGCTCAGAAGGATGGTGATCTTAATTAAAACTCAGACTTCTTCAAAAATAATTTGTATTCACTTGGTTTTATGTTGTTTTATTGTTTTACAAAAATTAATCTGTTGCTGTCAAAAGCAAAACCGCGCGAATGCCCGACAGGGTTAGTGTTGCCACGTTCGAAAAACTAAATCAATCCACAATATTAGGTACTATTTGGCATTTTAGTGTTTGAAATACTTAGACAATATTATTAGTCACAAATATAAAAATAGTAAGCAATAAAATATGGACTGTAACACTAGTATTAAGTAATCATCGACGTCTTTTTGCCATCTTATAGATCCCGCGCCAGCATCATACCTACGTATAACAAAGACAACTAATGATCTTACACAGGGGTAGACAGAGACCCACAAAACTGTAAAGGACACAAGTTTAGAAGTTCAACGACGTCTGGAGGGCTGTTCAGTGCCACTCACTGGCGGGTGAGTGACAAAAAATCTTATTCATCAGCAGTTTTCATTATAAAAAAGGACCCTTTGTACTTTATGAAGATTTTCCTCAACTTAGATACTTATGGTACTAGCTAGGTATGGCCCAGCAAAAGGTTAAGAACCACAGGAATACCTAATAGATTCTTAAGTATTATAATACCTATACGTACAAACTGAAGATGCAAGTTTCTGTGTATAGCCTCAAACGATTTTTGAATACGGTAGGTTGGTAGGTACTCACTTGTTAAATGGATTGGATTACAGTAAGTTGGTCCGTTCACGTCCACCTACCAAAGATCGCCTGTTCGCGCCCACCCACCAGTTCACCTCCATTTTAAGGCGCGAGCCCACCGCGGTGCATTCTGTGCAGGGACACGCGGTGCATTTTAGCTGCATGTATTAATTTGTTCGACAACGTGGGTCTACTTTTTCACTGGAGCACAAGAATATGACCCACGTACTATGTACAGAGTTGCACGACGCATGGATAAGCTACGCACGTGAAATGCGTCCGTTCCACAAGGTTTATGACTGAAAACCGCGCTGCGATAAGTGAGCTGTACATAGTCGAAGCACATAAGGTATGTATGCCAAAGATGGCCAGCTTCCTGAGACGAGCCGCTTAAAAATATGCAGTTATGATTACTTTTTTCGATATTTTGATTGTCAAATAAATACATTACAACCTCCAATATATTTCTTCTCTACTATTTATCTACAAGATTATACAAGGTTTTGAAATAAGGTCGGCCTTATTAGGCGACTGTACCTTATTCGTGTACTCCAGTGGAAACGTAGACCCACGCCGACCGCGGTGAGCTATGTAACCGCCTATTCGAGCAAGCCACGCATGTATCAAATATCAATGACGTCAACTCATACGTAACCTCACCGTGGGTTGCAGTGGACAGTGGACACAACCACCACTTACATTTTCTTCCAAAGTGAAGCTTAATACACGTGCACCGCGCCTTTACAGATCGCCATGAATCTAAGAGATAATAAGATTAAACAAATGTGTAGTACCTACCTACGATTATGGTGGTAGTTTTCTCATTTTCAAGTACTTATTTTAAAGGGCGTTCCGTAACCGGATGGACGTGAACAGATGAACTTATCTTACTTTCTGGTAAAATAAGGCAAGATTTTTGAAGAAAAATCGTTTAGTCGTAGTAATAGATTCAGCAATACCTATATAACAACCTACCTACCTATAGTTGGAAGATTGGGATTCCTAGGTATATATTATAGGCTACGGTAAATGCCTAATTGCCTATTCACGTCTAATCAAGAATTAATTCACGAACGCTATCGAAAAGCAATTTATCTTAGGATTTAATTCCGGATTTCTTGAAGCAATTCCAGATTAGGTATCCCTTTTGGAAATAAGACAAAAGTTTTGCTTAGGAATGTTAACTTCTCCAAAAAGGCCTTACTATTGGAGCCGATTTATTTCTACGCACATCAAACTATGAACAAACCCAATTTATCATGATCTCACTATCTATGATCTTTCCACACTTTCCTCGGTCTGTTTACACTGGTATTGCATAGCTTGATATGGAACTGTGTGTACTACGCACTGTTTTTTGGTTCATTGAGCAGAAATTCGCGTATGGAACCCTTAAAAAAATATTCGTAAATTGTTTCTACGGAGCGGGGTCCCGAATTAGCACCCTTGAATGGTTTAACACGTTCCCGCGTGCTTTGCTACGTAAATGTTTCTAGAGCACAATCGACTCGGATTTTTTCGCTTCGTAAGATTCAATCTTAGAGAAAATATTTTCGTAAATGATTTTAAAAGGTTTGGTTATTCAGTGACTAATGCCCTGATACTGAAAGCCTACTCAATTTTAAGTGGTTGCTACTTAAATATCATGCGAATTTGTAGTGACAGAATTATACTTAATCGCAATTTAAACTTGAGTATTTGGACACAAAGCCCATTTTAATCAACCTCTCTTAAATTTTATAGAATCTCTCAACTAAGATAGGTGACACATAACGAAAGTATGTTTTTTACTAATATTTAAAGATGGAAACGGAACTAGGTAAGAGGTTAGTTGAAGCACTCTAAGCAATTCTTAGTTAAGTAATGGTTTAGGAATGTTCTTGTATTTACGTAGGTACATACATTACTATTAATACATACTGTGGCTTATTAATACAATAAACTATTAATAAGCTACAACTACCTAAATAAATCATTATCTTCCAAAACAAATAATAATGTAACCCGCTGTGAATAACTAAACTAAAACTCTAATTAAGATATTATTCAAAACAATCCAAATCCTACTCACGCACCTCAACCCACACAGAACAACCATCCTTATAACCATTGCAATAAGACTGAATATTAATATTGTTTCTAAGCTCAGCTGGAATCTACAGGCTGTGTATTTTATGGAACTATTTTGAGAATTGAATAGTGCTAATTGAGCAGTAATTAGTGATTCAATGAGTGGATTTACTGTGTAATCAAGTTAATATGGTATTATACTGTATTATTGCAAACAGGCACTTTGTAGGCACGGGTACCATGACTGGGTTAATTTGCAAAATAATATCACTCTAAAGCAGATTGGTGGTAGCGTGTTGAATAGTTATAAGGAGGTTAATACAGCTTATTGTATCAGTTACCTGCCTTACAATTCGAATTTAATTTCAACGATATTTTTCCTGTCCCTATACGTAGTTATTAGGTTTACTAGGGATCATTACAATGCCTATTTTCCTAACCTAGCTGTCGACGTTGTATTACAAACTGACTTTTACATATTTCTTCTTTTACTCATGAATTAGTCCCATGTACATAGGCAGACACTACAGAGCGCCACCAGCTACTACGATCATTGCATCATAAACAATGATGCGCGTATGGATGCCCAACTTCAAAGCCTCGAACACGTAAGGTTGCAAGCCTTTCGGTTTTTTACCGGATACATTTCGATGAGAGTGCGGGGGAATTGCACAACTTGATTCCTTCCATCATCGTACCACAAGACAATAGGTGAAGCGTCACCAATTCCTGGTAGATGTCCCACCCATACGCACGAAGCGTTTTGCATCAAGCTTCCTTGTGCGTAATGCTAAGGAGTCGAATTATTTGCCAGAGTATGTATTTCCTGAAGGATATAACCTGGGTTCACGATGTCTTCAAAGCTTGAGTGAATAGGTTACTTATGGGACCGCAACATCGCTTACCACCAGTCGAGATAGTGGTTAAACGTCAGCCCATCAAATATAAAGAAACTTTTTACTCATTCTCTTTTAAATCGGACAATGAATAAAATTCCTTAAATCTTCATAATTATAGTTTATTATTTACAAAATATTTACACAAACTTAATACATAAAATCGTATTGATTACGAAACAAAACAAAACTTATCTCTATGACAATGTGCTCAAAATAAACGGTACAAAAATATATTTTCAAGTGACCTTTATTATTGCGTAAAACATTTAAAATTTCTAAGCATTTTACTACAAAATAAAATTAAACTAGGGTAAATAATATTAATTACATCGAGGTAGGTAAATAAGTAAAAATATTTAAGTCGAATATTCATTTAAGCATATTTTGTACTATAAAGCTAAGTGTGAATAGTTCAATACTAATTGCTTATTGAGGAAGCCATATTGTGTAGACTTAGGTAACCTATAAATATAATTCACAGCTATTATATGCACCAATATTACAAAGACTATTGTAATTCCATTGCGGTCACTTGAATCTTGGTGTGAACAACTTAAACATCAATTAAGGCTTTTTTCGATATAATCATTATCAATGTTTTCAAATACAATATTGTTTATTTTCACAGCGTTTCTCAGGCTTCGAGTGTGACGGTACATAACGTCTTTCATTCAGCGGGTAGACAGTTACAATAATGTAACATCTGACTTACGCCAGTAATGTTAAAATTCCTTGTAATGTAACAATGTTACAATCTTAGTCGGAGTGGATCTCATCTGCAACTTGTTGCCATTTCGCTACTAAATTCGATACCGATTTGTGTTTTAATCCCACTGATGCTGATATTTTTACCTGAAACAATACAATTTCAAATTAACATTATGAACTTGGTATGTCTCACAGAATTGAACCAACGAAACTATGTAACTAAAGAATTTTATTGTGAACCTGATCGAAAAAGAGTAATTTAAGTAAGTAAGTTTCTGGCTCGTTCTTCTTCATAAGAATCTATACTTTGGAATGAGCAAATAGCTTTACTAGAGGACTGACCGACAGACTGACACTTCTAATTTTTACATAACAACATAACATCACGCCTTTTATCCTTGTAGGGGTAGGCAGAGGTGCACACAGAAGTGACACCCACTTTTCACTATTTATGTTATGAGTCCCATGTAATAGGGGGTGAGCCTATTGCCATATACCGGGCACATTTCCAGACTCCGTGCTACTACTGAGATTTTTAAAAATCCAGTAATACTTTGCCCGACCCGGGAATCGAACCCGAGACTCCTTGTCCGGCAGTCGCACTTGTGACCACTCGGCCAACGAGGCAATCAGATATACAGACCACTCTTTATTTATAATGACTGTAAGCTTTCTAGTGGAGCATTAACAACATTATAATGTTAACCTCAAAACTTAACTTTTCCATAGAAAAAAAACTATGACTGTAAGTTGACTTGAGTGTATTGTAATAATAAACATTCCTATTCAAAAACAAAAGACATTTTACCTTAGATTTCTTCTTGGCAGTTTTAGGTTCCTTATCCTTGTCTCGCTCTCTTTCTCTATCTCTTTCTTTTTGTGTCTCCCGGTCCTTTTCTCTTGACTTTTCTTTGATGTCCACAGGTTCAGGTGAGTTGGAGGCCGTGTGTGGTGCCGGTGTCTGCTTCTCTATCTCCGCTATGTCGCTGTAGAATGATGCTAACTCGTCGCCGATCTCTTGTTTTGGTTCTGACTGTAAGACATAATAATACATATATTATTTAATATCATGTCAGAAGTTATTGGGAAGTGCTGCATCATATTATTATAGTAAGATAAGATTCGCTCCCGTTCCCGTAAGATTTTCATGGTTTTTTTTGTCAAAAGAACTTTCTCCTGACAATAACAAAAATTGTGAAATCGGTATAACCGTTGACGCGCGATGGCGTCACCTAGGGATATAGGGATTCATTTTTTATGTATACATATAATTTTGATATATTCATGAATCCTTACAAAATTTCGCATTCAGGTACAATAGGACATAACAACGCAACCAGACACCCCTAAATAGGCACCAATCTCATCATAAATCACTTCATTTTATCAATCACGCGGAACTCACGTTAACAGGTAACGGTGGAATATCATCACAGCCAGGTGGTGGCGGGTCCATCCAAGATGGCGGCGGCGGGGTCCTGGCCCGAGCCCACGCCGGTGCAGCGCCAGTGAGGACTGGCGGCGGCGGAGTCGCCGACCGCAGCTGCCACGACGAGGCCGGTAGTGACGGCGGCGATGGCACTGACGCCGGGGGTGGAGTCGGCGGTAACGGTGGTGGTATTTCCTCCTATTGAAATATGTTATTAAACTGGTGTTGTCCCTAAACTGCGAGGAGTTACGGCATGAATTTTCCGTAACCTATGTTTCCTAAGTCGCTTGTCAAGTATGACGATTATTACCTATCTAGCACCCTCTTAAAGGGCCTCCCGATGGTGACTATCGTTTTTCAGCTCACCAGCTGACGTATCTGTCTAACGACTGCATATTAGCAAATACTTTATGGGACTTCTCGGAACACTAAAGATCCTGACAGTAGACTCACTAGCTGTATGCCACATAACACAGAAAATTAACTATCACCATAACTATATAGAACATTAACGTACCTTCGCGTCACTCCCAGGATGCGGCGGCGTGGTACATATGTCCATGTCAGTGTGTGTAGTGGCCGGGTACTCCCATTGTACGAGTCCGTCGGCCTCGCGTCTGTAGCAGTAGCGCCCCTCCGACCTGCAGTACACAAATATAATAGTTGAAATATGGATAATGGGGGGTGATTGGAGCCCGGTAAGTTTAGGTGGGTGAGTGAACTTAAGTTTATATTGGTAACTTGTAGATAGAATTGTGGCAAAGTGTTGAGCTGATGCTCTATATTGATGAGGACATAATGTTTTACAAAGGTCAGTTGGCACTGAAGAAGATTAGGTGAGATTTGTCCTATTAAGACTCAGAAGTAATATTAAATGTAAAAAGAGACGGAAGAAATATCTTGGAATAAAAAACCAGAATAGAAACGTATCTCAACAAGATAAAACGCGAATGTCATAATTCAAACTCTTGGTTATAAAAGAAACTTAAGGTCACCACAACACCACCTAAAAATATGGGGCAAACTTATCTAATGACAAATAAAACCGTATACTTTAACCCGTGCTCCGGATTTGTGCCCGCCGTAAAGAAAATAAATAGAAAAAATAACATTCCAAAATGGCGGACACCGGGTATCTTGAAAATCCTTTACACGACGGTCTCGTCTTCGACATTCTGGAAAAGACCAAAGTATATTATACTTGAATAAATGTAAAAATATCAGCAAAGAGTTTTGACATCTCACCAACTCCTTGGGTGTCGCGGTGACTGGCTGATGGCCGCTGGCAGTCTTCTCGCTTCCTCACACTTATAGCTAGATGCTCTCTTTCGTTACAATATTTGGGATGGCAAATTATTAAAGAAACTCGAATTTTTAATAACAACATTTTTATTCTTACTAAGTTATCACAGACGTATATCACAGATGGATTACATTATCACATAAGATTCTACGCGTTCCTTTTGATTTTACAATAAATTACGACACTATAACAAAGCTCTTTAAAACATTCCGATGTTTCGTTTAGACCGATCAAAACTACATTTGTAGAGAAGTTGTACTTTCTGCAAATAAAATTTCAAGAAACACTAAGAGTGAAGCTATAAAGTGAAACAGCGACCTAACTAAAAGTCCTCTACACCGTGTTATTGGTACCTCAATATTACACATTGTAATAACACATACCAACATACATTGCAAATTCACGACAAAATCAGAATAACAGATTCAGAAACATATAAATTCTTGCCGAAAAATTTTCGACACAATTTTAAACCAAGAAATCCGTTCCTGGTCGATATTCGTTTCACAAGTCGTGTTTAGCCCTTAATTTCAGTTCAAGTAAATGTCTAAATTAAAGGCTAAGTCACACACACGCTTCATAAAAAGCAACCGTAAGACGATGTCCACAAAGTTCATTATGTCCAATGACTCCGCACTATGTTTGAGTCTCAATAGTCCAAATAGACTTCACTTTTGATAGCGCATAATAGGACCTTAGATGAACAATGATATTTTCAAAAAATATTAATGTCGAAACCCATTAACTGTCTACAAGTCTGTTAGCATATTATAAGAAACTATTTACTTTTGTTAAAAAATTCTGAACCAGAATCATATATATCATGTACTGATAAAAATAACATAACATAACATAACAATAAAATGTTATAAAAGCTTGTTTGATTTTTGAGTGACAAAGACAAAGTTACCAATAACTCGAGAATAGCTGGACCGATTTCCATAATTGTTTGTTTCTTGGATTTGTCTTCTTACTGTTTTTCTTTTGAATTGAATATCAATTGTCACAGATTTAGACACCATGACACACAGATGAGTATCTCCGGATTCATTGATTTAAATAAGTTAAACACGAACACTGTGATTCGATAAAAACAGACTTGTGTAGGCAACATCCATATTCCAGCAGACTGAGTCCAGTTAATGTGCGCAGACATGAGGCAAGTGATGTAAATCGTTGTTCATGTAAAGTGTGTCGGCTCGGTATGTCGAGTGGTCTGTGTGGGCTGTGGCGTACCTCTGGAAGGCGGCGGTCCAGCCGGGCGGCGCCGCGCGCGCCTCGTGCGCCGCCAGCGCCGCGCCCGCGCCCACTGCCCAGCGCCGCCAGTACGCGACCGACAGCGCGCCCGCGCGGAATGCTGATACCAGCGTCTGGAACACGAAACAATTTATTATAGTTTTCGAACACTTTTTTGTGAGCCGAAACCCTGGCCTTGCCTTGGGTGAAGCGGTATGGAGACAGACAGGCTCCGTGTCAGGGCCTCAAAAGATTCCGAAAGACAGCAAGTTTATTGGATTGGAATATCTTAGATTAAACTTAAGATACACACACTTTCAGTTAACTGGGGGTCATATGAATTACAAAAATAACTGTATGTATGATATTGCCCCCAAATTCACATACTATTAGATTTCAAAGATCCATAAAAACATTGAACTCAAAATAGGAAATAACTCTGATAATACTAATACTAGCTATCTAAATAAATAGGTAACACCAAAAAATCCTTAAACTATTTAAAAATGGGTTCCACATACCTGCATCTGTATCAACATCTCCTGCACCGGTGTCAGTACACACGGCTGCGCTTGATTTAAGTACTTGAGCTTAGCTTCTAGTAGATCAGTCAGATCATCTAGATCCTCATCTTTCTTGTCTTCATTTAAGGTCTCTCCCTTAGTAAACATCAGACCATTGCCATAATTAATTGTATTCTTTGGACTTTCCCGGCCTTCTTCTTCTTTAGTAAAGCCTAGACCAGTTCTCTCTCCAGAGAAACCTTCAATGACTTGTGAATACTTCGTCGTGTAAGATGGTTCCTCAGTCTTTTTGCGGTCTGGTAACACTGAGTTTGATATTCTTAGCTTCTTCTTGCTAATGTTGTCTCTTCTCTCTTCCATGTCCATTAGATACAAGTTAACACCTTTCTTCTCTGTAGCTTCTACTCTTACTTCTTCATTTTCTATTTCATTGAGTGGAGGAGTTGGGGGAAGCGATGGTGGAGTTGCAGGAGCGTCTTCTAAATGTCTGGCACTAGCACTAGGGAAAAGAGGCTTTATTTCACCGACTGGAGGAGTGACTACTCTTTTAGGAGAGTTCTTAGCACTAAGTGCTTCATTGGACTTCCCATCATCACTGTTCTTTGATTTAGAGACCTTAGGCAATTCCTTTTTCTCAATTTCTTCTAGCATATCATCAATGTTAGCACTGGGTTTAGTGGTTTCATCTCTTTTTGGCGTACTGCTACCCGATCTAGGATCATCATTTATCATTTTTTGTAAGTCTTTTGGTAACTCTCCACCCAATTTCTCTAATATTTTAGCTTTGTTTTTAAGTTTTAGGAACAGTGTACTTTCATCTTGGCTGTCTTCATCATTTTTCTTATCCTTTGGAACGAAAATAAAAATATTATTAGTATATTACACAGAAATATGTTTATAGACTTTTGAATAATTAAGAAGTAGGTACCTCAGATTGAAAACTTTATACCCATCACAATGCTTGATAATGTTCAAACAAATTGAGAAATTGTATGATCTAATCCTAACAAGTGGTATATTTTGTTTATTAGTACAAAATATACCAGAAGTACTTGAATCAGACCAACAGTAACCATGTGTAATCATCTTCTGTGATAAGATATCACAATAGATTATTGCAAATGGTTGTTATAATGAGAATGACTGTTAGAATTTAGAAGATAAAAATAAATATTTCTCAATGATTTGAAACACTATTCTTAAGCAATTTTCAGGAGTATTTCTCATCACAGGCTCTATATATAAAGTACAATTTAATCACACAAATAATTCAAATATAAATATTTAACCCGTCGAGCGTACGCGTTCCTTATGATCCAACGCGTGCACACGTGACATTTGGAGAAAGAAAGAAAAAGCATTTATTTGGCCATTGGCACACGAAAACAAGGATCATTACAGAAATAAAACAAATACAGTCAAAATAAAAATAAAACATTAATAATAGATTTTATAAAAGAGAAAGCAGCATGGAGCATTTTTTCTAATGATCCACCGGGTGCTCATAAGGACGCTCGAGGGATTAAGCAAGTTGCTACAAAAGTTCATTGTTGTACATACCTGTTTTGCCACATCATTATCAACCTTTTCACTGGGCGATTTAGTTCCATTTTGCATTAATTCCGGAGGCAGTTCAGGTCCAATTGGCACTGTGTAGTTGGTAGGAGGTAAGGCCGGACCATACTCAAGAGGCTTCACTTTGGCTTTCTTGTGAACATTTGTTTTAGTCTTTGGGACAACTGGTTTTGTTGGAGTATCACCCTCGTCATTGGATTCAGAGTCCGAATTGTGATATGATGTTATTAGTTCTATTTTTCTGTAAATAAAAACAATATGATTATAAGAATTTGTTTTATACATAACAGGAATAAAATTTATAAGCTAAATCTCTTTATGAGTTCAACAACTTTATAATATTAGGTACTTCATGTCTGTGTTGCTAAATATCGATAAATTTCCAAACATCAATCAATTAGGATTCTATTCACATAAAGCATTCTATAACAAATAAAAAATACTCTCATAAAACAAAACAATTTAAAAAATAAAGGCAATACTTACTCTTCCTCATCATCACTGTGGCTTCTTTTCCTATTCTTATTGCTAGTATCTTTGACGCCAATATTGTTCTTCTCAACTTTCTTAAGAGGTTTAGTAACGGAAGACTTCGCAACTGTTTTATTGTTCTGCATGTTTTGTTTCTCAGCCAACGCTTGTTGGTAGAGCTGCCACTCTTCTGCTGATACTTCTGTTGTACCTGAAAGTAAAAAACTATGTTTAACAGATTGAAACTCCAATACTAAATTGTACTTGAGTATAGTTCTGTCACTACACACTAATTCCTTGTAAAATAACAGAGATGTCATGATATTCAAGTACAACTCTTTAATTGAGTATGCCTAAATTGAGTAAGCCTTCTAGTATTCAGGCGAATTTTTACTTTATTTTTAATTATTAAAGACCATTTTTCTCCATAATACTTGTTGTTTCATCATAAGTGTCTGACACAATCATATACAGCTATAACTACTAGTTAACTCTGAAAGGACCTCCATTTTCTACGTAATAAAACCAAGGTTTAATGCAGCCATGATGCATCTAAAATTATACTACAAAATGCAAATGAGAAGTAAGGGACAGAAGGTAGTATAAACAGAAAAATAATAGATTAAAACAACAGCCAATCTTAGAATTTCATCACTATAAGTAATTTTGCATGGATATTAGATACATGCAATTTTAATTTTAACCATTTGATTAAATTTTCACACCTTACCTATATAGTAAATCAATACATTGAAAAAATAATCAAACAAAAAAGATTATTTAACTATTTTAACCATTTGATTAAATTTTCACACCTTACCTATATAGTAAATCAATACATTGAAAAAATAATCAAACAAAAAAGATTATTTAACTATTAAAAATAAACAATACAATACCTGCAACATGTAGTTGCTGCTGTGCCAATTTCAAAGCCAGTAGGTATTCCGGAGGAGCTTCCCATGTCACTGCATTGGTTTGCTGGTTCCAGTAGTATGTGAAGCCACTTGACTCATCATAGCATGCTGACCATGCTGCAAAGGATTGGTTTATAAAGTTAAACAACATATTGATGTCAATCAGAGTAATTTGAGAGAATATTGTTGAATTTTCCTAACTCTGAAGCCTTAGTACGAGTTTGATTTACGTTTAAAGTATTCGAAATGAGTACACGTTTGGCATTCTGATTGGCTGGCACCAATGAACCAACCAATCAGTGCCGAACGCGTACTCCTTACGATTACTTTAAACATAAAACAAACTCGTACTAAGGCCTCTGTCTGTATCAGCATCAGAACATTAAATGGTAAAACAACTATTTACAATCCCTGTCTAGTAATATGCAAAATTAATTACTATACATTAATTATTTATTATTATTTAGTATAATAATAAATTATATCTTCAACTTGTGAAAATTTTACTCCGTTTTTATATAAATAATTTATACATATTCCATTCTGTTTTCGTTTCTTCTAATATTTATCAACAATAGAAAAACCTTTTTGTTTTATAATAATACGCCATAATTTTACAATACTGCAAAGTAAGAAGAAAATATTAAAAATGAAAATGACAATGACAGAATCAATAACTTCAAAAATAAATATACTAAAGCAAAACGATTAACAATGTTGACGAGAGCCAGAAGCAAACAAGGCGCACCCCCACCACCTCCGGACTCGTCGCTCAGCTCCGCCTCGCCATCGCCGGAACCCCGCTCCGCTGGAACGCCGGTGACTGCAGTTGCGTCGAGCTCGAGCGACGACTATTTCTCCCCACCTACGTCGCCACCACCTGTACGTCGGCCGGGGAGAGGCCGGCCACCGACTGGCTTGGGAACCAGGGGCCATCAGGCCCTGGGACGGGTCCCCGCTACCGGTGGTTGTGTGCGGCGCATGAAATGGACTCAAAGTATAAACGAGAACGTCATGCGCGCATACTACGGTGCTACAGAGGGAGGAACTAACCTCACGGCGTACCGTGAAAGGATGCTGTCTATGTTTCAGGTGCTTGAACCATCTGTCAACGTCTCGGCCCAACGACTCTCGGATCAAGTGCGGGTCATCCAACGCAATTGCAGATTGGATGAGACTACGCTTGATCGGCTACGCCTTGAAGCACTGCGCAACCGTGTCGTCCCCGCACCACCACAATTGGTGGCACAGACACCTGTAGTGTCACAATGTGTGACATCGACCACTCCTATCGTTGGAGTGGAGGACGACAGGGTTGAACAAGTGAGTACTCAGTGCAATGAACGTCTGAGGAGTGCTTTGGAGGATGCGGTTCGTGAGTACAGACTTGCTCCTAGTAATTTAAGACCAAAGTTACCACGTTTGCCCATGTGTAGAAAAAATAGGGCGCTGGTGAGCGCCTTGGATTCGCTACTTAAAAAATATTTTGAGAGTAGCGAAAACCTCTATGATACACACTCAATCTTGTACTGTGGGGCAGTTGCTGCTTGTCGAGTGGCTAACGTCAGATTCCCAAATCTTGACGCAGCAGTCCGACCAAAACCAGCAGTACCTGCCTGGCAGTGCAGGATAGAGCGTCGTATCAGTGAGGCCAGGGTACTCATTGGCAAACTATCCTGCTTCAGGGAGGGCAATACTCGCCCTAGAGTGATGCGCTTTGTAAGACGTGCATTTGTGGGGACTGAAATCAGTCCTCATGAATACTTATCACGTGTTACAGAACGCATCGACTTCCTGAAGCAGAAAGTTTATGCATGGGCAAACCGTATCAGAAGGTACAAAAAAAGAGTGGAGCGCTATACTCAGAATCGCATGTTCCAAAGAGATCAGAGGTGGGTATACAGAGATTGGGAACGATCCAACCAAGATGTGGCTGACGGGCGGCGACCGGATGATGATGCCACTAACACATTTTGGCGCAACATCTGGTCGGTACCTGTTAGCCACACAGAAGGTGACTGGATGTGTGATGTTAAGCGAAGGTGTGAGACTATACCAGAAATGGAGGAGGTAGAAATCACCTCCTCTGATGTAGCCAGTGCAGCCTGTTCGGTTCCGAATTGGAAATCACCGGGGCCGGACGGACTGCACAATTTCTGGATTAAATGGTTCAAGAGTTCACACGTTCGCTTAGCATTACACTTCCAGGCAGCTTTGGAAATTGGGTCGTTACCACAATTTCTAACAACAGGAGTTACCCACCTGCTCCATAAATCAGGTAGTTCCATTGAGCCCAAAAATTATAGACCAATCACATGTTTACCAACGGTCTATAAACTTCTTACATCCATTTTGAGGACAAAAATAACAAAACATATTGAACAAAATTCCATCATGTCTGTGTCTCAAAATGGATGTAGGGAGGGGTCTCGTGGAACTAAGGAGCTACTCCTCATTGATATGGTTGTTAGCCAACAGGTTCGTCGGTCCCGAAAAGATTTGTCTACATGCTGGATAGACTATAAAAAAGCATATGATTCTGTGCCACATACATGGCTCCTGAAGGTGCTGGAGTTGTATAAAATACATGCAAGTTTACGCGCCTTCTTGGAGTCATGTATGAGGCAGTGGAGCACCGTGCTTTGCTATCCGGGATGTAGACAAATCCAAGGGAATGAAGAACCTGTAAGGATAGTACGAGGAATATTCCAGGGTGACAGCCTGAGCCCACTATGGTTCTGCTTGGCCTTGAATCCTCTAAGTACTCTACTGGAGGATTCAGGGCTAGGCTATCCTTTGCGGAGAAGGGGTTTAGTTATATCCCACTTACTTTACATGGATGACCTCAAGTTGTTTGCTCCAAACAAGAAACAACTGACGGAACTACTGAATATAACTGAAAAATTTAGTAGTTCCATCAGAATGGAGTTTGGAGTAGACAAGTGTGCGGTCATGCATGTAAAGCGAGGAGGGATTGTGGAATCTGAGGGACTAGAACTCTCAGATTTCACAAAACTGAGATCACTCTCCGCAAACGATACATACAAATACCTGGGTATATCAGAAGGATTAGGCATTAATGGACCGGACATGAAGCAATCGTTACAGGAGCGCTTCTTTGGCCGCCTGAATAAGGTACTCAAAAGTTCCTTATCAGGCGGAAACAAGGTGCGAGCCTTTAACGGTTGGGTCATGCCAGTCCTAATGTATTCTTTTGGTATACTCAAGTGGACACAGACTGAACTAGACACCCTGGATAGACGAGTCCGGACCCTGCTGACTGCAAATCGCATGCATCACCCTCGTTCGTCGGTCATGAGGTTGTACATCCCGCGGAAGTGTGGTGGTCGAGGCTTATTAAATGCTAAGACCCTTCACAACCGTGAGGTGTGCAGCCTCAGGGAATATTTCCTGAAAGTCAACGAGGGTATGCATCGAGAAGTAGCAGCGGTGGACAATGGATTCACTCCACTATCCTTGGCAAAAGAGAACTGGCGCAAACCTGTTGTACTAAGCGTCAATGATCGCAAGGAGGTATGGCATAGCAAGGAGCTCCACGGACGCTTCTTCCGGGCCCTTCATGGGCCCAGTGTAGATTTTCTAGCGTCCGTGTCTTGGCTACGATTCAGTAATCTCTTTGGAGAAACTGAAGGATTTGTCTGTGCAATTATGGACGAAGTTATCCTTACGAATAACTACCGGAAATATATAATTAAGGATGGGACGGTTGACATGTGTCGGGCATGTCATAGTCCCGGTGAATCCATTAGACATATTATTTCTGGTTGTGGTCGTTTGGCTAACAGTGAATATTTGCATAGGCATAATCAAGTAGCCAAGATTATCCATCAGCAACTTGCTTTACACTATCGACTTGTTGATTCTGAGGTACCGTACTACAAGTATGTGCCCGACCCAGTTCTGGAAAATGACCATATCACATTGTACTGGGACCGGTCTATCATTACTGACAGGACTATTGTAGCCAATAAACCTGACATAGTAGTGATAGACCGTCAAGTACGCCGCACGATGATAATCGATGTCACCATTCCCCATGACGAGAACCTCGTGAAAGCTGAGAAAGATAAACAAATAAAATATCTAGACTTAGCTCACGAGGTTGTCGACATGTGGAGTGTGGATTCGGCTATCATTGTGCCGATAGTCGTGTCGGCCAATGGGTTAATCCCTAAAAGCCTCGACATCCATCTCAGGAGGCTGGCGTTAGGTGGATGGATCAAGGGCCTGATACAGAAGGCAGTTCTCCTAGAAACGGCACGTATCGTGAGGAGGTTTCTGTCTCTGGAGCCCTAACCACCGGTAGCTTGGACCATGCTCCCGCTACTGGTCGGGTCCTATTTTTTATATTTTTAAATATTATTTTTTTTATTTTGTAAATAGTATTTAGAAATATAATTTATAGAGAATTTTAAATAAATATATGTAAATTATATCTTATCATTAAGTACATCACACTTCCCATAACATTGTGGTGTGTAACTAGGTAATTTTATCTAGTGTGTTAAATCTTGGTACCATTAAAATTTGTCTCATTAGTCACTCGTAATACATTTTTTTTGAAATGTTAATTATTTTTATCAATTGCAGTATTATATCTATCTATGAACCTGTATATATAAATAATTAACTTTAGTATTTAGATTTAAGATTCTCCTTTAAACAGCATGATAGTTCTTGAATGATAAGACATTCTTTTTTCTAAAGTATCTAAGTAATTCAGTCTGATTGCAACAACAACTGATTTCCCCTTAACCATGTTTCAAGTCTCAATAGTTAGGTACGTACTTGTCAATTTAATTTCATGGCCAATAGGAACTCTATTTTAACAATAAACTCTTGACTCTACAATAAAGAAACTTATTTAATCACAGTTAATAGTTGCATATTATTTACCTAACAGAGCCTAACATACAACAAACCAAGATATTGAACTTTTGAAACTAATAAGAAATTTAAAAAACACAATTAATTTTAAAATGTCAGCTCATACTCGTATCCATATGGATTAATCTGTCAAACACTAAGCGGTCACTGGTGACCGCGACCTATTATTCTTTAATTGTGTCTATAAAACCGGTACTCGACGAGTTAATGAGGTTTTAATGTGCAGAGTACAATTATAAGTGTTATAATTTTACTGCATTACTCATAAAAGTTTAGTTGTTATTATATTTATGAGATGGACATCTAAAAATAAACTTCCTCATACTTCTCCTATTAGCATTTAATTAAAATAAAATTCCTATTATATGTGAACTATTCATTTTGCATTAGCATTTACCACATAAAGTTAAAAGAAAGATAAGAAAAAGACCATGCAGTAAACAATAATGATTCTCATTCATTTCATAACTGTAAGCAATTCTCGGAACAATACAATAGGTATATTTAAACAATGGTCAGTTCATTGAATGCACTTTTAACTGTTGTTTACACCCAACTTTAATAAACATGGTTTTTTGGCATGTGGTATATAATTTTAACGACGTAAAAACTTCTCGGTAGGTAAGGATTTGAAATAAAAATACGTTATTTCATAAGGTAAGTAGGTGAAACTTACGGCAATGTGGAATAGGAGCTGGGTGCACAGCACCCGAAGAATTCACAGCACTGTTTTGATACGCATGTCCTGGCAAAGGTGCAGGGTAAGATTTCCGTGTATCAGGCTCCGGTGGTAAGGGTGGCGCCTGCATTCCATCATCAGATTCCTCATCAGAATCCCCGTAATTAGCTATCAAGCCAGCTAAAGGATTTGCTTTACTCATGGTTAAAGTTGTAAATCACACTTCGCATTAATGTCACTGATTCAACACCATAAGTTTTAACTGCACTAAATTATAACACTAATACTCTAGTTCAATAGTTTATATCAACACTCAACAACAAATAAAACGTTAAACAAGATTTTATTATTGAAAATTTTTGCACACGCACATCAAGTGACTCGCACGTCGACTGACACAAGAATGGCCATCTTGATTTTTTGAACTAACAAAACATCATGACGGCTACGCTCCGTTACACGCAGAGCACTCCACAAGAAAATTTAGAGTTCTTATAATATTTTAAGAATTTGTTCACTTTATCTTGTTTTAAAATGTTTATATTTTTAATTATGAGGCATAATACATTTTTTAACATTTCAAATAAAATATTCAATATGCATCCGATACTAGCGCCATCTATCGCATGTCTTTGTGTTTTATATTTTGTTAACAGATGTCGTTAAATGTACGAAATGTTCTTGTTCTTGTTTCATTGGTGTGGGACACAACCTGCGTCGACACCCTTGCACCTTCTCATCTTCCAGTAACGGCGGGTTGTGCTGGTTCGGCTGCTGCCTCTGCAGAAAACCTGAAGCGGCTCAAGATAACAACCGTGCTGGTAGTTATATCTTTGAGCCGTTTGTGGTTGAAACGTTAGGTCCATGGGGTCCGAGTGCGCTTAATTTATTCAAAAACATTTCGAAACGCCTGGTCGACACATCTCGTGACCAGAGGGATGGTCTTTTTCTCGGTCAGAGGTTAAGCATTGCCATACAACGTGGCAATGCTGCCAGCCTTTTGAGTACATTCCCCGCTGACGTCGATGCGGACGAATTTCTCGATGCTCTATGTAAATAGTTGTTTTTAGTTTTATTTTAATTAGTTGAGTTTTCTGAACATGTAGACTCACGCATTTGTTTTAGGGAAGTAGGTAGGAGTTGGTAGTAATTACAGAGTACGACTTACAACATAAAGTCCACTCATCCAGTCATTTCGTCGTCATTTCTATTAGTAGGTATACCTATAGGTCTTCACTAATGGGCCGAACTGGGAATCATGGCATCAATGGCTTAACTACAGTGTGGCAAGTTGTCAAAATGCCACAGCCCCCCCCCCCCCCCCAGCTGGAGGAAGGAGCTCCAGTCCAGTAGTTTCATCTAGACTCTCTCTTTGTTACTTTTTACGAAAATACCTTCTTGGACTACTAGGACTTCTAGGTACTTGTCTGTGTAATTGACAAGATACTTAAATTAATCACTAGAGTAGAGTTTAATTTAACTCTGGGTTTGAGTGTGGGGAAATCGTGAAAAATAAGTCCAAATTGTGATTTAAATTAATTATTAAGTTTAATTATTACTTAATTAGGTATGTATAGGCACATGTATAAAAATATAAATAATAACTAGACTATAATAATTAAACTTAACTCAATGTTATTTATACATGGTATGTACTAGTTTATACAGATTTCAGTATTCAGTAGGATGGTAAGGTAACATTGTTAAACTAAATACATAGTTTTTAAATACGGCGCAAATCAATATATTATTAAATAGGTTAAAAATCTAAAAATTTTTAACCTATTAAAAATCTCTGTCAGTCTCAGTCTTTTCATTTTTTTTAACAAAACTGACTGGCTGAATGTTATCTCTAAAGTATTAAAAACACCACACATCAAATGTTATTAAGTCAAACAAAACAAGTATATTGAAATTCACATAGGTTTATAGGGAGAAAAATCATCCTATGACTTTTCCCGCCCAGGTGAGGCGAGGCACGCACGCCGTTTCTGCTTTTGAACTTCGAGCCGGAGCCCCGGCAAGGCAGTAACCCATTAAGTCCTCCGCGGCCCCATATCGGGAAATACACATAGGTACATAAGCAATAGCGTGTATTTAATCGACGTTACGTATTTAATTCAGTACTTAGGTTTCTTTTCAACAATGTTATTTAATTTTTAGGTGTCACTTACACTCTGTGTAGGTACTTAATGCAGAAGAAATGTTTGATGCTTTCGAGGGCAGGTCTTGGACACAATCATCAAGCAAGGCATCGAATATTACTATACAATTATGGCTTTTAAAACTAAAATATAACAGCGTTAATAACTTACTTAACTGTTTATGAAGAAATAAAAATATTACAAAGACTTCATCCATATTGCAGGCAACGAAACAACAATACAAAAACAAGCAACGTGGTTATTATTATCTATATTTCTTCGGTGACAATGTAACGGACTTAAAATTACGACTATGTTCAATTTGTTACCGCTTTACAATGCAAGGTTCACAAGTTCCTTCTTTGAGGTACGCAGGGTGGCACTGAGGACATTTGGGGTTCTCCCCATAGCTCTGTCTCCCAGGCCTCGCCACCCTCACTTGAAATGACGTCTCAGCATCATCACTCTCGTATCCTGGGTGCGGCTTATCTAAAGGAAACACGTAATCAGGAACGAAGTAAGAGCTGATGTTGTACTCCGTGTTGCTTGGTTCAGGAGTAGTCGTCTTTGGCTCAGGTCTCGTCACGCTGCTGAATGGACTCTTTCCCTGTTGGATCGACCTCGTCTGCTGCACATTTATACTGTTAGTCCTGTTGTCTTCTTTTGGAGGTACCAGATCGAAGGCAGGGACTGCCCATTTCCATTCATAGTAGATCGGTGGGCCTACGGTTGTTGATGGAAGCGTCTGAGGGTCAACCTTTGGAGGCTGGAGTTCTCTCTCAGGTTCTGGAATACCATTGTTATTTCCACCTTTAGGTGCTTCTTCTTGAGGAGCTACAGTAGGCTTAACATTGACCGAGTCGAATTTCGGACTAGCAGAGAATGACTTGTCGTTTTCGGTTTGGAAGGTATTTAAATTGTTGCCGAAGTTCTTATTTTTTCTGGGAGTTCTTTCTTCTTCTGAGGTAGCTGGCCCATCTGGCAGTTGTTTATTTAAGTCTAATATCTCGGATTTCGACATCGCAGTTTGGTGTTGTACATCAGGAGATGTGGGGTCGAATCGTTTGATGAACTTGAAGACGGAATCAGCAGTAGGTTGAACATTGGAATCTTCTACGTTAGTTTCCTTTGTGGGAGCTGCAGGTGGGATCAGTTCGATTGAGGGCGGGGTAACAGATGGTACTGATTTGGTCTGTGAGAAGTTAGTGCTGGGTGTTGGTCTGTACTCTGCGTCAGGTTCTTGTGAGGCAGCTTCGTCGAGGCCATCAGACTGTCTGTTGGAGATGCTGAGGGTGTTTGCCCTGGGCTTATTCCGGAACTTGCGTCCCGTTCCTGTGGACCAGGAGCTTGGAGGCCTGTAATTCTGCTTGCCGCTGTCCAGGTCATTGTTGTCAATGTCAGAGATGGTGTCAGCTACACCCACGATGCTGTTGCTTGGGTGAACCGGGAACTGAAATGAAAAAAACGTAATTAGGTAAGTAAATTCTTTAGGTGCCTCATTGCGGATGCCCGAAGGCAAGGAAAGAGAATAGAGTTTTTAACACAAAAACGATGATGTAAGAACATGATATCACTGAGTTTCGTAACTATAGGAAAAAATATTACTAATTAAGTATATTATTTATCAAGCTAATTGTCTGCGAAGGAAGGCGGTTACCGCAATTTACGCACGGATTAACCAAGATAAATTAAGTCATTAGCATGACCTTAAATAATTAAGGAAGACCTTATTATCAACTGGTATGAATTTATTACTTCTCTAAACGATTACATTTGTAAGTAACTACTAATACTACGTACTACTAACTACTGTTAATGTCTATCTAGTTGAATAATACATAGTGTATACATCTCTTTCTGTTTTTTTGGAATATTTTATTTTTAAAAGTAAAGAGACAAAAATAATCATAATTTCAACATAACATTACGGCACTTAATGCCACTGTACAATGTAACACCCACTTTTCACTATTTATGTTATGAGTTCCATGTAAGAGAGGCCTGTTGCCGCCATATACCAGGCACTATTCAACAATACAATAAACAATTTTATTGGTAGCCGCAAATTGCATAATTTTATAAAAGACCTTACCTAACCTTTTGGGAGATTAAAGACAGGAAAAGGGCGAAAAACCAGCGCGGCAAGTCGGCTAAATACCCAGGCACTGGAAGGGGAGGCCCCCTCTTCAGAGGTTACTTGTGTACTTTTATATTTATTATTGGGAACGGGCGCCCTTCCGATGAATTTTCTACGGGCCCCGTATAATGGTATAGCTTAGCTATACCATTCGTCCCGTTCATTCATTCATTAGCTATAATAGCTACGGCACTGAGACAGTTTATGATGTAGCATATTTTAAAAGTACCATCAAGTTTAATATGAATAATGTTGTGATTACGCACGTGAACGTGGTTACCTTTCCTAGGCAATAGGTATAACTTGTTTTTGGTACCAATAGACACAGGCCATAAGTTTATAGGTCATAGTGTCCAAGCAATCTCCTCACGGAACCGGTGGACATTAAGAGTTTAAAATGGATAGATGGAACAGGTTTATACCTTAGTCTCAGCCTCCCTCAAGATGTCATAATAGGGATTGTATGGCGGTGCTGACAGGATGTCCGGTCGGGGCGTGCGCAGGCGCATCTCCTCGTCTGACACGAAGGGCTTGTCGCGTTGACCTGGAAAATGAAATAAAACATTGTTATAATAATTATTGGGATTGACGTATTTATTTCACCATAATGTTTAATTTTTAAATTCAACCATCTTTGTTTTATTTTATGTCATAAAATCTAATGATAAATTAACTTCTAAAACCAATTAAAAACTAAAATAAAAAGAAGAAAAGTTCAGACAAAAATAGTAATAATCTTAATTTGAATAGCAATAACGTAACTTTTATAATTTTATGTCATTTCCATGTAATAAACAAATGTATATATTTATGTGTCTGAGGAGCCACATAAATAATACAATTTTAGTATATGTATGTATGTATCTATGAATAATGTATGAGTTAGCACAATATATATATGTATGTATACACGTATGCAAACATATATAAATACGGAAATATGAAATGAGTCATATTGTTTAAAGTTTTAAGGTTTAGTAGATACTATGATAATTATTTTTGTGTCCTATTAGACTGTATTTAACTCACACACACACACATACACACATAAAATTAACCACAGTAACTCTTATAAGTAGGTATAGTTTTAAGAGAGTGCTCGACTAGATTCGAATCACGAAAGAGGTTTTATAATCGTTTTAAAAAACTGACTGCACCCTCCTTCCATTCCTTTTTTGAAGTCGATTTAAATATTAAAACCTGCTCCTAAGTGAAACAAACACATTACTGAAAACCATACCAGAAACGGTTCCCCCAATTGCGGGGTAATCGCGGACAAAGAAAGACATACAGTTTAAAATGAGTACCTCCTTCTTTCCTTAACTGCACAAACTTATGTGCTAATGTTACCACTAAGTTACAAGTACCAAGTTACGAGTTACCTCAACGTATATGTCTATCTAAGTAGATCTTTAGATACAGAATAACTATCAACGTTTTAACCTAGGTATACATAACAAAGTCACAGACTAATTATATATAACCACAATACCTTTAATCTCCGAACGGGGTAGGCAGAGGTGCACATTACGGCAATTTATACTACTGACAATGTAACACCCACATTTCACTATTTATGTTATAAGTTCCATGTAATAGGGGGTGAGCCTATTGCCATATATACCAGGCACAATTCCGGATTCCGTGCTACCACTGACATTTTTTTTTAAAACTCAGTTATATTTTGCCCGACCCGGGGAATTGAACCCGAGACCCATTGCCCGGCAATCGCAATTGTGATCATTCGGCCAACGAGGCAGTTTAATTATATTGATAGTGCAATGTGGAGCAATGAGGGAGACGTGTTAGTGTTAGGAATATCTTTAATTAGGTGTCTTAAAGAACTAACTTACACTACTTACTTATAGGGCGAGGTGTTACACACTACAATAGTAAAAACAATAACGGTTATTAAAACATTTGTTACACACTGTGTCTTTTGTTTTAATTACATTTCCTGTCTCAGGTCTACTGGAAGAAATTCCAACAGGAATAAGTATCACCTTTGTTCTCCTATTTTATATGTGTTATCCTCTGTGCTGTTTGTGTGTACATAAATTATTAAATAAATAAAATAAATAGAGTACAATAACTGCTAAACAGTTAAATAGTTATTGTTTGCTACCGGTGACCGCATCAACGTTTACAACCGTTGTACGTTATTAATTCAATGTTCGTTATGCAGTTATTCTTTCAGGTTAAGGATTTTAATTTATCTTTATTCTTTATTCTTGTAGTATAGTATGTGTAATTAGGTCTTTGGTAACCTCGCTCATACGACTAAACACAAATTTCATTGCTTCACGCCAATTTTTTTAAAGGCCGTGGTATCACTCCGGTTGAGCGGGTTTACTCTTGCCGGAGCATGGCTATCAAACATTAAACACACTTATGCCATTTTCCAATTGAAATAAATAGGTATTATGTAATTCATTACAGAGCTCCTCAACCTACTACGATTCTTATATAGGGTGTGATAACATTTAAGTGTGGGAGAGCCATGCTTCGTCACGAATGGCCCGGCTCGACCGGAGTGATACCACGGCCTCACAGAAAACCGGCGTGAAACAACGCTTGTTTTGTGTTTCGTCGTGTAAGTGAGGTTACCGGAGGCCCATATACCACAAACCTCAAATTCCCCATTCCCAAAAGGCTAGTAACGCACTTGTGTTGGTGTTTCGGGCATTCATGGGCGACGCCGATTGCTTACCATCAGGTGATCCGTCTGACAGTTTACCGGCTTATACTATTAAAAAAAAACGCCGACAGGTGATGGTAAAAAACAAGTTACATAAAAGTAAGAAATTAAATGTTTCTTTTATTATAGAGGTAATATAATGTAAACTTCATAACATAATTGTTATGACACATGATCAATCACACATACCTACATACATGCATTACCAATGAAAAAACTGACTAACCAAAAAGCAATCTGCTTTAAACTAAACCAAAAACTATTTAACATTTCGCTTTACTTCCTAAACCAGCTAATAACAAATGGCTCCTCTCGGCAATGATTACGTTTGTTACATGCATCTAATGTGTCGGAGTCAAGGGCACACATTATGTATTACATTATGTAGTTACATAAACATTAATGTTGAAGTATTGGTGCTATACATACACGCTTGTCTGCTTCCCCACATGGTGAACTGAGCGTCATGATCGTGCATCCATTAAGAAAAGATTGACGAATTAGGTTTGGTAATCACACAGTAATATTAAAAAAATATATATTTATGGGTTTTTTTTTTAAGGGGGGAAAATCATCGAATGACTGCTCCCGCCTAATATATTTATGGGTAATGAGCATTAATCTCTGATGAACCTGCACCTGTTTACCTGCAATCTTGAGGTAAAAATTATAGGAGACTCCCCAACCCAACCGCTTTTATGTAGAGGAGGTTATTCCAGTTCCAGCAGGGAGCTGTCACGAACTGATTGTGAGGTTGATGACGATGAATCAGGAACTGATGTTCAAAGAACTCAGTAGGATTTATTACAAAAAAAATGTCAAAAATTTAGTAAAGAGTGTTCTTCTCGTGAGTTTTATATCACTATATGTGATGATACATACATACATAACCTCACGCCTGTCTCCTATGCGTACGCAGAGACTGGAACCCCTATTGCTACGATATTATGATTAAGTTACACCAAAATTCTATCGTACATTAATAAATTACGAATAACTTTTTCCAACAGCAATTTCGCAATCAATAAAACCAACTAAGTGTAGTTACCTACGTGGGCGTAATTTCTCACGATCTTGATATTTTTTCCACAAATAATAATAAATTGATTCCAAACTGTTTTAATTAATGAAATGGAACATAAATATGAACAGTTTTACAGACATAAATAATTTGTTCATACATAAATTAACGAGTATGATATAATTCGTTGACCCCTAAATCAAAAGTGCATCGAGGTGATTAACTAGTGTAAAGTGAACCGCAAATTATAACTTGCAATAAATTCTAGGTCAGCTGTGCTTGATTTATTTGTAGAAATATCACGCTTTTCCTTCCTGAAGAGGTCGGCAGATGTGTATTTAATATACCTAATAGGTACTTATCAAAATTATGTAAGTACAACTGCACGCTTGATATCATTTTGTAGACATACTTGTAAATTATATCTACTGATAACCTTTTTTTCGACCTAAAACATGAAACTAGGACCATATTTTTATGATCATCATCAACAGCCGGTATAAGTGGTCACTGCTGAATAAAGGTCTCTTCTCACACGGAAGGGGTTTGAGTATTAATCATCACGCTTGCTTAATGCGAATTGGCAATTAGTAATTATAAGTATTTTTATAGGTAGGTACTCAACCAAAATCGAAGACTGCACGGTTGGTGCCGTGGCTGAGAAACTTGCTGCCGCGCAACGTGTCGCGGGTTCCATTCCCGCACGGAACAACTCTTTGTGTGATCCACAAATTATTGTTCCGGGTCTGGGTGTCATGTGTATGTGAACTTCTGTTTGTAAACACACCCACGTCGCAGGAGAAAATACTAGTGTGGGGCAATGTTTTTTTTTAAATCAACTTTGTGACAAATAATAAATATTTGAACGCAGCAGCATTGGACTTATGTATTCAAAATATGTGCGTAAGTAGTTTAGTACATAATGTTGTACTTAAATGCAACTTACTTACTTAATAATAACATCATTAAGTGGGCAGTAGGTAATAAATTTCATATCAATCATACGATGAACTCATTAAACGTAATAAATTATAATAAAAATATAATTATGAGCACATCAGCATTGAGCTCTTCCTTAAGCTTGTTATTTCGTAAATGACGTTGATTTAATCATAAGGTACTGGAAGACCCAACACTAACACCAAGATTGATCATAATCACCCTATAGGTGTCCACCGCTAACCAAAGGCCTCTTCTCGCACGGAGAGGGATTCAGAATTAATCACCACGCTAGCTCAATGCGGGTTGGCAATTTATTTCAAACTTATACTTTTAGAAATCAGAATAGATAATCTAAGTTTTAAATATTAACATGATAGACAAAACTGTATCACCATTGTTATCGTAGATTCTCTTTCTCAAGAACTATTCTATCAGGTAAATCCTATCTCAGCACATCTTCGAAATTTGTCACAGATTTAAAATGACATCTGTTCATTTTCTCTACTCTAAAAATAGAAGAATTAATTTTAGTGTTAATATTTATATCTAAGCAAGGTTAATAAGCATTTTCTGTCAGGCCCTTTGCAAATGGACAGATTTAAAATTCCTTAATTATTTTGTTATTCACATTCGCGCACAATTTATCTTTTCGAAGCGACCTTGGAGGTCTATAATTAAACTAGTACTGGCAGTAAAGCTCAAATTGACTTGCATATTATTCAAATGCAGTACGAGTTTGGAATTTAGAACATCTGTGCTAAACAACAGGCTTAGTAATCAATCGACATTGCTTTAAAAATATTCAATTGAATTTCGTACACCTATTTGAGGAGCACACACATAGTGTATTACATCACATTTTAAACGTAACATCGGCTTATCGATTGTCATATCATAGGGTTTTTTTTAAGGGGGAAAATCATCGAATGACTGCTCCCGCCTAGGTGAGGCGGGAGGGAGTGTCAGACTCTTACTGACTAAAAACCACCCCGTTCCTTCTCCTGCACGTCGAGCCGGAGCCCCGGTAACCCGTTAGGTTCTCCGCGACGCCATATCATAGGGTACGAGCCTTTTATCATATATAACGGGCATCCGGACTCATAACTAGATAATACATACCTAGTCGTAAGTCTGGAGTCCCCTGATAATTTTACAAAACCAAAAACCCACCATTAGTCTTCCCGCAATGTAGACGTTATAGCTAACTAAAGGACTACGTAGATTCATAACCCAATATCCCTAACCCACTGACAAATACCAAAACTAATACTCCTTTGTCAGTTACAAATGCAAATAATTTTGTTTATGACACGGCGAACTTCGTGCCTCCAAAAATTTAAACCTTTAAACCTATCCTGGAATTCCACGAACGTTTCAAAACCAAAATTAGCCAAATCGGTTCAGCCGTTCTCGAGTTTTAGCAAGACTAACGAACGGAAATTCATTTTTATTTATATAGATTGAACATTATTTTTGTGATTGACAGAGCGTGGGCCATGACTGCCATGAGTGATGCTTTTACTATTTGATTATGATAACAATAGTTTGAAATGAGGTCAGGACCAAAACTACGAAGGATCTGTAAAATCATATTGTAGGACTTATATGGTGGCTACTGGTAATTTTGTACGACTAGATATTTAATCAAGGTGGTAGCCAAATGTGTCTGAAAGAATAAAAAGAATGTATACTGAAATCATTGTTAAGAATTAGTAAGATTCAGTGATGCCAAAATTAACTAAAAATCGTAAAATACGTGAAAATACCGAGAAAAGCTCTACTAATTTCAAACCACAGAGAGGCTCTTCCTTATGAGCAACGTGCGCGGTCGCGTATTTTCACATGAAGCCCGCCATTTTAGTAAATTTAGTATTTCCGACGATAGTTATTATAAAACATGCCAAGAACTGATGATCAAATATTGTAGATATTTGATCATCAGTTCTATCAGTACATGATGTACTATTTCAGTTTCGCCGTCACCCTGTAACGGTCCCTAAGTCGAGCAAAGGACTTTTGGAGACACCTATTTGAAGTAAACAACGGAAAGCGTCGATAATGTGAATTTTATAAAACAGTCATGTCGTAGATACAATGGTACCACCGCCATATGTCATCAACCAGCCCACATTATTTGCTACCCACAGCATCTCAGATCAAGGCTTGTAAGGCAATTCAGAGTGGCATCTCCTTGGCCTGCCAGAGTCGGTTAACTGTTTGAAGTACACAATTATTACGCAACATCATATTCTTACTTATAATTTCTAATTATAAGTTTGAAATCGCCAACCTGCATTGGGCAAGCGTGGTGATTAATGCTCAAACCTTCTCCATGTGAGGCTTTGCTTAGTAGTGGGCACTGCTGCTGCATTTATAGGCTGTTGATGATGATTATGATATTATCTTATCATCCATGCCTATCTATGAGATATGATATAGTTCAGATGCTATCATAATAAGTTATCCATACCTTTTCTTTACTAGATTAACAATTGTATTGTCTCGTATTAAAGTGCAATTTATAAAGTCGTTTATGTTTGTGAATATTGTAACCACTTTATGGTGCTATAAACGTTTGGTCGACAGATTTCTAATTAAGTACAACTTCAAAGGGAATTTGCTATTTAATTACATTATGATAATTAATGTTACATGCGTTTACAATGTTTAAGGTTACGTTTTAGGGTTTAAGTTAAGAGATACTATTTATGAAGAAATACAATAATAACAAAATCAATTAATACCGAACATACTTCTATCTGGAGATGAACTTTCAAGCTTTACTTATAGTATTTTTGATACTTATTCTTCTGTTACTTAGCACAATTTAAAAACTCTAAAATTCCTTTATTCAGTTATTCAGTTATTCAGTTAGTAATCACTTCAGATCGGACGTCAGGGTTTGGAAATCCCCAGAAGAAACCTAAGCTCAGACGTAACTGTCACATCTCTGATCTCTCAAACAGCTTGGGGATTGATTGAAGTCAGGAAACAAGTTATGATGCTACTCAGTAGCTTCAAAAGATGGGCAGTCCCATCTTTCGAAGGCTGTACCCGATTCCAGGACCCAGGTTTAAGAAAATTCGTAATATGGTAGAGTATTCTTACCTATAAGCAGGTTAGCATTGTAGTCTCTCTCGGACATGGAGCAGTTGACCATGTACCAGTGGTCGCAGATCAGCATGCGTTGCTGGAACAGCGTCATGTTCGGGCACTTGTAGCTGAACTGACGACCCAGCCCGTCACACATGTGGTACACCTGGAGACATGAAAAATAACTTTTAGGAAACAATAGTTAGGTACTTATATTTTACTTTACATGGATAGTCAGACGGTGCGGTGTCTGTTTATTTCATTAAAAAAATTTTGGTTAAATAAATTCTATGGCATATTATAGGTAGACAGATTATACTGAACACAATTTCAGACAAAACCCAACAAATATAGTAAATACAGAAATGTATGATTCATTGAATAATCAAAAGGATGTCACATGCAGATTCTTCAATACCCTTAAAAAGACACGACAGTCTATCAACAAATCTATCAGCAACTAATGAAAAAAAAGTAATACACCAAACTCCTCATCATAGACGTCATTCATTTGCTAAACTATACTAAAAAAGTAACAAACACAGTTATTCCAAATCCTTCGAACTAAATTATTAGTTTAAATATAAAAGTATCGAGATGTAAATTAACAAGAATTCGCACTGCAAATATTCAAATTGAATAGTTTCAGTAAACACGAACAGTGACATAATACTCATGTTATTTATTATATTCATTCTCACTTCAGCTATCTTTATGTAATACGTACATATTTATGAACTTTGAGTTCATTTAGCATACAGGTAACTGCTATAGTTATTCAGAAACATCCGTCGTTTATACATGTAGAATTGTCAAAATTTACGATACGAGTACACATTTTTAAACAAAATCTTGTAGCAGATTTGCCATACCCGCCCTGTTATCCCTAATTCCCTGTGGTCGCTCGCGTCGAGTGCATGCGAATATCGCCTACTGACGATCGGTCGCCAACTTTGTCGATTGTACCTTACTTGTAAAATCATTAAATTTAAAATGAAAACATTAACGGATCTTGGATTAAATAGAGGTGCATCCTTTTTACCTATTAGAAAATTGTACAGCTCAGACTGATATTAACTATCGATACAGGGTACATGCCCAATTTTTATTTTAATGTCCGTCTGGTAGATTATTTTACAACATTAGACACGTATTTTTTATTTTCTTACAGAAACAAATACTTCGACGATATATTGATTTTAAATATCGCGTGACGTCAGTTCTAGGGACGTTTTATACGTAGAAATGACGTTTTAGTTCCCACTCCTAAACTTTGATTCGTTTTATATAAGTATTGTAACCTTATATAAACATGTTTAATAATTTTTTATTATCTGTAGGGACACAATGTACACGTCACGCTATGTCAGCAACTATACAATAACGCGCGGCTGCGCCCGCGATGCATGTATCAGACAGTCGCAAATAAACCACGATCGGAAATAGTCGTTTCAATTAACCTCACCCCAACACACAGTAGAACACGACCTACACTACCCCAAGTTAGTGATAGGGAACAAAGACTCTAAATTGGTGACCCCTGTGAACTGTAGTGTTATTATTTTTTAGTCTGGTGAGATTAGACACAAACGGAAATGAATCCGCAACAGAGTGCTACACCACGTGCGCAGGACGTGAAAGTGGTCGGAGTGTCCGGCGACGCCAACGAAAAGGCGCTGGCGAGCATAACCGTCGCTTCACGAATCCCTGAGTTCTGGGCAGACCAAACGCGACTCTGGTTTGTCCGGTTCGAGGCCACGGTGGAAAACCAGAAACTGAGCGATGCGGCCAAGCAGGATCTAGTGATAACGAAGCTGAGCAAAACCGCTATAGAACAGGTGAGCGATTTATTGCTCGCTCCACCAGAAACTCGGAAGTACCAGACGCTGAAGGAAAGGCTACTGGAGGTTTTCGAGAGTCGGAAACAAGGAGACTTCAAAAACTGATAGGTGAAATGGAGCTGGGAGATCAGCGGCCATCACACTTGCTACGGCGCATGCGTGAGCTGGCCAGGGAGAGAGTGCCTGATGAGACCCTGAAATTAATGTGGCAATCACATTTGCCGACTTCAGTGCGAGCGGTGTTGACAGTGACGGACTCCAAGAGTTTGGACGTGCTTGCTACGATAGCAGACAAGGTGATGGAAAGTACAGGAGAAACTTCATCATCGGTATCAGAAGTCAAGGCGGAAAAGGCTCAGAAAAAGCCCGCAGAGCAAAGAACTGACGTAACATCGGACATCAGTCAAATCCGCGGGAGTTGGCGAAGATCAACCTGCGCCTGGCAGGTCTGGAGCGCAGCAGAGCCAGAGGACGTCGAGACAGCAGCGGCAGCCGTGGATCCAGGTCAACGTCGGTTGGCGGAAGAAAGAGCGATAAGTGGTTATGTTTTTATCACTACCGTTACAAGGAAAATGCAACAAAATGCGTAAAACCATGTAATTGGAGCAACGGAACAGAGACGTCAGCGGGAAACTAGAAGAAGTGCAGCCGACGGCGGGACGTTGCACAACCGCGATTTACAACCGTCTTATAGTGTGTGATAAAAAAACAGGTATGAAATTTCTGATTGACACGGGAGCAAATGTATCCGTAATTCCTGTAAAGAAAAATCGTTCAAATAGTTATTATAATAGGAATAAGTCTAACTATACTTTGTATGCCGCTAATGGCACAATTATAAAAACTTATGGTGTACAGACATTAACGCTAAACTTAGGATTAAGGCGACCGTATACTTGGCAGTTCATTGTAGCAGAGGTGAATCAGCCTATAATAGGAGCAGATTTTTTATCAAAATATGAGTTACTAGTCGATTTAAACGGTCGACGTCTGATAGACAAAGTAACTACTTTGAGCTCAATAGGTTCTGTTGTAGAGTGGAGTGATTCATCCTTAACTACGATTGATAAAACTTGTGTTTATGCGGAAATACTAGCGGATTTTCCTGAGATCACTAAACCAGTGTCTTTTAGGGAAGAACCCCCACAGGCGGTGTTTCATCACATTGAGACACACGGACCTCCCGTATTTGCTCGAGCTAGACCCTTAGCCCCTGAGAAATACGCCAAGGTCAAGGAGGAGTTTCGGCGCATGCAGGAAATGGGAATCTGCAGGCCGTCGAAAAGTCCATGGGCCAGTCCGCTGCACGTGGTACCGAAAAAGGATGGACAGGTACGTCCTTGCGGCGATTATAGAGCATTAAATGCTATTACGATTCCAGACAGGTACCCTATCCCGCGAATAAATGATTTCACGTATATTTTAAGCAATAAGTGCATATTCTCGAGGTTAGATTTGAATAGAGCGTATCACAATATTTTAGTGGCACCTGAGGACATAGCAAAAACAGCAATTACTACCCCTTTTGGGCTATACGAGTTTACGCGTATGACTTTTGGCCTTAGGAATGCCGCGCAAACGTTTCAGCGCTATATGAATAATTCGGTATTGCAAGGTTTAGATGCGCATTGCGAAATAGATTCAGAAGGACAGTCAGACTCTAGTTTTTATTTCTGTTATTTAGATGACGTCATCGTAGCTAGTGAATCGTCTCAACGTCATAAAATACATTTAAGAGCAATATTTGAGCGATTGAATCAATTCGGTATAACCATAAATTTAGCGAAATGTAGTTTTGGAAAGGAAAACATAGAATTCTTAGGCTACGAGGTCACAACGACAGGGATTAAACCATTATCCGACAAAGTGCAGGCAATAATCGAATACCCAAAGCCCAAAACGGTAGATCAATTACGTAGATTTTTGGGAATGATAAATTTTTATAGGTCTAGCTTACCTAGAGCAGCGGAATACCAATCGGTGTTAAATAAGTACCTACAGAACGTTAAGAAAAAAGATAAATCTATCATTAACTGGTCGTCAGATGCAGACATCGCGTTTGAAAAATGTAAAACTAGCCTTCTGAACGCAACTGTGTTGTCGTATCCGATAATGAACGCTGAGTTTGCTATATGGGCAGACGCGTCGAATGATTGCGTAGGTGGCGTGTTGCAAGTTAAGGTCGACTCACACTGGCGCCCGTTAGGTTATTTTTCTAGGAAACTTTCAGATGCACAACTAAAATATAGTACATATGACAGGGAGCTGTTAGCCATCTATTTGACGGTAGAGCATTTTCGTTATATGGTAGAAGGAAGATCTTTTACAATTTATACTGACCATAAACCGTTAGTATACGCGTTCGCGAAAAAACCAAGTGATAAGGAGACACCTAGACGCGTTAGACAACTCATGTATATCAGTGAATTTACAACAAATATTCAACATATCAGCGGAGTTGATAATGCTGTAGCGGATGCGCTGTCTCGGGTGGCAACTATCACATGCCCGACAACGCTCGATTTCGATGAATTAGCGTCAGCACAACGAACGGACAGCGAGCTGACCGCGCTCTTATCGCGGGAACACGAAGTAATGCAATTTAAGCGAATCATATTACCCAGCGGTAAAGGTGAGGTGACATGCGAAGTATCTACTAAGAATGCAAGGCCATATCTCCCAGTAAGTTTTAGAAAAAAGGCATTTCAAGTGGTGCACAACTTATGCCACCCTGGGATTCGTACTACCAGGAAATTAGTAAAGTCTAAGTATTTTTGGCCGAACATGAACACAGACGTAGGAAAGTGGGCTAAAACCTGTGTTCAATGCCAAAAGTCTAAAGTCATTCGTCACACTGTATCGGGTCTAGGGAAATACGAAAACAGTGGTAGATTTGAACACATACAAGTTGACTTGATCGGGCCGTTGCCTACGTCACCGGATGAGTATAGGTATTGTCTAACAGTGGTGGATAGGGCAACAGGATGGCCAGAAGCTTTCCCAATCAGAGACATTTATGCTAACACAGTGGCTAAGACGCTGTATGAAGGCTGGATTTCGAGATACGGTTGTCCCGTAAGGGTTACTACAGATCAGGGCAGACAGTTTGAAAGCAGCCTTTTCAATGAATTAATGAAATGTTTAGGAATAAATAGAATTAGGACTACGGCTTACCATCCTCAGGCGAATGGGACTGTGGAGAGGAACCATCGCGTGTTAAAAGCAGCATTGATGGCCAGAAGGAGTAATGGCACGTGGGTTGAAGAGTTACAGACAGTTCTGTTAGGGTTACGCGCGACACCGCGGAGCGACACTGGTGTCAGTG